CCAAAAATCTTACAGGCGAAAATGACGGTCATGTCCCTAACGTAAGCCTGCCAAGCGTAGGCAAGGCTAAGCCTGTGCTGAACCGTAACACCTAGGCAGTTCGCCACCAGGGAGCATCACGAGGCAGTTCTCCCCCAGGAAGTTCGCCACCAAGTAGCTCATCACCAAGGCACGTCACCACCAGGTCAAACACGAGGTACTTAGCCAAAAAAATTTTACACCCCAAAAAATGGTACGTGACCAATAACGGTTACATCAGTTTTGTTTTTAAAATTGATAAATCATCAAAAGAAAAAAAAAAAAAACATATATGTTTTCAGAACCATCAATCTTGTAGTGTTGCTTGTGGGACTACTGGTTGGGCAACCATTAATTTTATTTGGTTTGCTTGGTAACTTGATTGGAATAGATACCAGTATACCACACTAGCTAATAGACTTGAAATCATAAGTCCTGAAAAAGAATTAATGGGAAAGAACTTCAAGGCATTTCTTTCAGTGGAGTGTTTGCAGCACAGATGGTTTCAAGGCATCTAAAGAGTGGATTGACAATGGATATTCAAACCCAATATGGAAGATGTCCCAACAATGAACATGCAGATCCAAGGTTCAAAAAGTTGAAGAGGTACGTGAATGATTAGGCATAAGTTTCAATGAATATAAAGATAGTTTCTTTTTTATTCTTCTTTTATTATTTTGATTTCATGAACTACACATCAGTAAACTATCCCCCCCTACCCATGACTCCCCAACCTAGGTGAAGGCGGGAATCAATACAAAGTTTCCACTATAACCAGGAGACTTTACAATGGAGCCGTCGGCAACTTCAACTAGGTAGGGCTGCAAATGAATTAATTGGACCGAAATAGATAAAGGGTGTATCTAAATAGGGCTGCAATTGGATTGGATCGATATATATATAGGGTATATCCAAATTTGATTTGTTAATATTCGTGTTTGAGATTACAATCAGATATTAAATAACAGCAATAAATTAAACAAAAAATGAGTTTTTATGAAACTTCCTTTAAATTGAATCGAATTGGATTATATTGGATTGGCTAGCTGTGGATCCACATGTTGAAGGCTTTGTCCAGTTTAAGTAGAGACCTGGAATTGAATTTCGCCTTCATCAGGATGTGGGAGGTGATATTTTGATGGATTATATATACTTGAAAACCAAAAGGTCAGTTTAAATAATGATACCAATTAATTCATTGATGTAGAAATAATTATATAACAAGAAAGTTGAGTAAGAAAAGTTGTAATAAGGTTGCCCATAAACTGGCTAGATATGCAACTAATCTTTCTCGACCTTGTACCTGGTCGGAGACTCCTCAATTCCTCCGGCAAACTCTTATTTCAAATTGAATAAATGCATAAACGTGTTAGAGAATATCAACTTGTTCAAGGACTTCATCACTGGTATTCAATTAAATTTATGTGGGTTCTTGATTGATTAAAATTTTACAGGTATTATACCTTTTCCGATACCATAGAAAATGCCTTTGTTTTGAGTGGTAAATATTTAGACCTTTCATGTCTTTTTTTCAAGAGTAATGGTGTTTAACAGGGAAAGAATCTACAAAGACCGGGAAATAGGTTAGTTGAAAGTTCACAGTTAGCGAAAGGAGGATTATCCAAAGCTTCTGAAGCAGACACCAATATGTGTACTAACTTGTAAAAAGCTATATAACATGTATTTTTTTTTTTGCCTGCCAATTGATGCATTATCAGTTTGGTTGTATGATATCTACATGTCTCACTATTAAGTTTTTTAAATCGAATTGGACAATGAATCGGTCAAGGGTCCGGTTCCAAGTTGAATGGTCTGACCGTTTGAATCGAACGAATGGCCCGTTCTGACAAAAAAATAAAAAATAAAAAAAAATAAAAACCGGCCAAACTGTTGAACAGTTTGAATGGTTCAACTACCTGATTCAGCGGTTTACTGACCAAATCAACGATTTTTGAGGAAATAACGGTTCTGGGGTAAACGGACCTGACTGGTTCCCAATTTTTTTGGTCCAACCGTCCGGTCCTGTTTTGAAAACCATGCTCACTATATTGATTACTAGTTAGTCACGATCTGTGCCATGCACAGGTTTTATTAAGCATAATTGAGGCAAAATGAAAATTGTAGCATTCTCAAATTTTAATGATTTTTGATATTTGTGATATTATAATATCAACTAATTATTTTTTAATAAAAAATTATTTATTTTTTATTTACATTATTTTGATTATATTTTAGATAATTAATTTTATTCTTTAATATTATTATCATTATTATCATTGGAGTCTTATCCCAACTATATGGGTTCGTCTTTCATCTGCCCCCTAGCCCTTTTAGCCCCTTTAACTTGTAATAGATAACTTTTTTTAGGGAAAATGACAGTTCAGCCCAGGGTCAGAATTTGTAAGCTCAAAGTACATTAGGGGGTAGGTGTCAGTTCGGAATTGATGCCAATTCACGGGCGAGTATGAATGCATAGAATATGAATTTTGGGAAGCCTATGTCCCATCAAATAATAGTATTTAGTATTTACCTTCTAAATGAGGCAACAGACCGACTATAGGGAAGCCTATGTCCCATCAACCAGGCTGAAGCTTGGGCTGCATGTGAAGCCCATGTCCAAGCTACAAGCTATAGGGAGTTTTCTATCATCATAGATGGAGATTCGTCTCTTGTCATCTCCTGCCTCAAAAGAAAAGTGGATGTTCCTTGGAATCTGGAAGGTGCTATATCAAGTTGCTTATGGAAGAGAGATCTGTTCGAAGGAGATCTTCATTATCAACATGTCTACAGAGAAACAAATCAGGCGGCTAACTGGCTGACTCGAGAGGCTCTTTCTTTTTCTTCTCTAGATTTTAGCATCGCATCTCTTTCATCTTTTCTTTTTATTTGTTCTGCTGACTTTTGGGGACACATTACCCCATTAACGTTGTGTGTAGTACATTTCTTTTTATTTTCAAAAAAAAAATAAAATGAGGCAACAGACTTCTGCCTAATCATGTTCTGAAACCTTAAAAGCAATTAATGGAACATTAAATATTAAATACAATAACTCCTTGGATTCTAACACCAACTTACCACAAAATTTGTAGAATCACTTAGACTCAGTATTTAAGAGCTGCAAGGTCTGAGCTCTGACTGTTTTCTCTTATCATAACCTTCTAAATGCATTAAAAAATAAATAAGAACCCCATTGGATTATTATTGTTATTTTAAAAGAACACACACCCCAACCACTTTGAAAAGCTTTCAAACTCGGTATGGTCGAAATCATGCCTTGTCTACAACGTTGATTGCAGCAACCTCCTCCTTGGTTTTTGTCATGAATTGAGCTTTAGGAGTGTATGGCTTCAACGGTCCTTTGTAACCTACTTAATCTGTCTGTTGTCTTCATTTGAACGACAAAACAGGCTATGTAGAACCTATTTTTTTTATCTTTTTCTTTCATTTTTTTAGAAATGTTTCTTGCTCCTATTTCGGCTGTTTTTCAAATAGGTCCAATCCCATTTCTCTCTATTTCTTTTATTCTTAGCATAATCTATCTCCTAACCAAAAGTATTAAGGCTATTGAGGGACCTACATGTGAGAAGCCCAGCTCCCGTGATAAATCCATTTTGGATCTGCCTAATGAGACTCCTACTCTATCTAATCTTTATCAAACCAAACTAATAATAATAGATAATGTTGGATAGAGTTGTAATTACCTATTATCAAACAAGGTACTATTTTATACAACAAATAACACAAAAAACTAAAGCGGTTCGTAATAGTATATGTGGGTTGACGCTATCTACAAGTGAAACACCTACCTAATACCTCAACAGAAGCGGTCTACAACAGAAGTTTGCAACTGAAATAAAACAAAGTTCGAATGAATGAAATTAACAAAACAAATAAATAAAATGAAATGATACACAATGACTTTTAGGGGAAATCAAGATGATCCTCCTCTAGTCCTCTTCAACCTCAAATTCAAAGTTGTCGATGCATGATTAATCCGACATCCATCATTGAAGGAGAAAAATTGTTAGTTTACAAAGATAACAAATGAAAAACTGAAAATGAAGAGGTGTAGGAATTAAGAAGAACCACTATCGTGATTGACTGCTGGGTTTTCCATTTAAAACGTCTCCACACAGATGTATTGGAACATAAAACATCTCTCATTCAATTGGCAAGGTGAAGAAAGTGCAATGAGCATAGAGTGAAAACTGACTGGAGAGGTTTCCTAATGTGTTGGAGAAATTTTGGAGAGGTTTTAGAGAGAGATTTTAAGAAGATTTTTAGGCATTTGGAAATCTAATTCGAACCTTTAATAAGGGTGGGAAAAGGAGAAACGTGATTGGTTCAATGTGCCCAATTACATGGCTTTAAAAAATATGAAAATTCAAAAAAAAGGAGAAATTAAGAATGGGGATTTTAGAACAAATTTTGGAGGGAGGTAACACGTGGACTGATTCACTTTATATATAGAATAGATAACATATTTTTTCATATAAACCATAGGAATACATGCTTTCTATATGTTTATACCTTATTAACATATTTGTAGATTTTGTAAGAATTTTCTTGTTGTATTTAGATGCATTCAAACCTTTCCATCATATCCATATATATCCAATCCATATTACAATATGCATCGATTTACAAGCTCATCGATACACCGTGTAACACTAATATTTTGGACATTGGTTCTGATGGTGCCGGATGGCAGAGCTCGGTCAACAAAAAACCTTTCAATTGGAATTTCATAGAATCACAAGACTCTTGGTGGTAGAGTGTCACCATATTATATCAAATATCAGAGATTAAAATTGCTAGTCAAACGTTTTTGGGGTAAGGGGAACACTCTTCACTGCCCACTTGAAAAGGATGCCACCACAAACTGGTGGTAGAGTGTTACCATATTATGTTTTGATTTTAAATTATTATGTGGCACTCATTTATTGCATTCAGACGGCATGATTCTATTAGATTCCTCAAACTGTTTTAATGTGAAAACGAGAAATTTCTATTGCATGATATTGTCTCTGTTTAAATTACAGACAAATAATTGTGGCCATTGGCCATCCAAAAAAGATAATTTTTTGACATATCTAAATGCCTTAGCTTACAGTTCCGATAGTATAGTGGCATTCATTTTACAACAGCCCTACCATGCTAGGAAGGATGAATGCTTCCTCTGTAAAACCCAAGGCCTCCAACTGCTTGTTGTGGCACCTTCTATTTACAGGACATAAAATGGTGATTCTAAGCATTTTTGAGATCCTCATGCCTTGTGCAACTATTTATTTTGAAGAATTCAACTTCCTATCTCTGCCTACAAATGTTAGATACTGCTCTGGATTTGCCTGTATTTATTTTGAAGGTGGCACCTTCACCTCAATGCATGTATCACTGTCCTAAGCTTTCTGCAATGTCACCTGTCCAGGTGATATTCTTTCAAAATCTGCACAAGCTTCCGGTGTGTCTTCTTCACTAGGTGGAACCAGCTGCCAAAAGAGCGGCAAATATGCTTCCCAGTCTTTCAGAATGGCAGAGCCTTTGTTGCTTCCAGTTTTTTCCTTCAGAAGGAAGAGGAATACACGCCTTTAAGTTGCTATACGTTCAAATTAAGGCAATGCCAATGCATACGTGTTTGTATTCATAGGCAGGTAGTTGGGTGTACTTACAACATGTGCTTCTATGAGGCTTTTTAGCTGGATCTGCCCTGCAGGGGCATTCACTCTCTGAATCTTCACAATTTCCTTATTTACCTGTTCACATTTTCAGGAAATGAAACTCGAAAAGTGATATACATTTTAGAAGTAACTTGAAAAATGAAGAAATGCAAATTAACGCAAAATAGGAATTACATATCAGGAATGTCAGATCTATATGGAAAAAAGCTAAGTAACAGTTTGCATTTTTTGTCCATGAAACTTCAGTTGATAAATAACCATGAATTCTTTCCAAATTTGCATGAAATTGTCTTTTATGAGTTCAACTTAAGGGCAAGTGACAAAAAGAGGGAATGAGTCAGCATTTACTCGAGTGAAACCTGCATGACTCCATTTCCTAGGAAACATGCCTTGAGAAAATATCCTGAGAAGTGTAAATTTCAATTATCACTGATTTCAATATCATATATATTTCTTACAAACCTTGGGTATGAGTGTATCATCTTCATCAAGAATGTATGCCAAACCCCCAGTCATTCCAGCAGCTACATTCCGACCCACTCTGTCAAAATAGAACATAGGAATGACACTAAAAATTTAGTCCATTCCCATGATGTTCTTAACCACAATAAAGCAGGTTGAAGAGAGATACTCACTTTCCAAGCACAACCACACAACCTCCTGTCATGTACTCACAACAATGATCTCCAGTCCCCTCTACCACAGCTTGAGCAAGAGAGTTCCTCACAGCAAAACGTTCCCCAGCTTTTCCTCTAACAAAAACTTGACCACCGGTTGCTCCGTATAGGCAGGTGTTTCCTACTATAGTTGCATCCTCAGGGCAGAACCCAGTATTTTCAACAGGAGTTACAACCAACTCACCACCAGCCATACTCTGAAATGTTCCATAATGATGTTAAGAGGTTTCATAGCTGATTTAAGATGGAATTCACATGCATCAAAATACCTTGCCGACATAGTCGTTAGCCTCTCCAATCAGTCGAATGTTCATCCCAGGAGTCAAAAAACATGCAAATGATTGCCCAGCACTTCCTGTAAATCTGGAGAGATGAAATAAACAAAGAATTATGTCACATGGTTTGTGTTTTCATAAAGAGGCAATGTTAGTAGAGTTTCCAATGCTTCTGCTGTAAGATTTTGCACTTACGTTATGTTCAACTGTCCAGCAAATCCTGTATCCCCATATTTCTTTGCAACCACACCAGCTATACGACCGCAAACAGCACGGTCAACATTGTAGATCTTTATGGTTTTATTAACTACTTTCTCATTTTCAATTGCATCAGATATCTGGACAAAAAAGACAGGCTTCGTAAGTGTGACACAGAAAACAGCAAACTTTAGAGTTATATATAGAAAACCACATAGAAAGATAAAATATTAAAGAAGTCTCCTAACACTGGTAGTTGATGTAAAGCTGTATATTTACAACTACACATATCCAAGGATTGGTCAATCTTTGAACCCTTGTGAACGGTTATGGAATAAGTACCTGCTCAAGAAATAATTTATCTTTTCTTCCTGTTTACTTGATGTATTTTTCTTCAAAACAGGATCAAAATAATTTCCAAAATAATCATAAGGCAGGGCAAAATGGTGGAGAGACAAACATTTTGCAATTTTGAACTTTTCCAAATAAGATACCCACAAAGAGGAATCTTCGGTTCAAAGACTAGTAGAACCTTTTGAGCTAACAATCCCAGTAGAAACAGACTACTTGGTAAAAACCCAAATGATTGTTTTGTTCAAAAAAACTGTCACAAAAAGCTTGTGTCGACTAAATATGGCGTACTTGTGGAGGCTTAAGAGAAGTATTTGACATAATCTTAGATGCTTAGGTGAGAATCTCTAAGGCTATTTAAAGTAAAAAACTTAATCTACCCTGTAACTCAAGTGGCTTATAGGTGAACAATAAGAAAAAGAACAATTTGAGCCATCTAAACCTTTCCCACTTATCCCTGAAATGAAAGCAGGAAACAGATGGGATGAAGTTGTTCTAGTTTCTGATGTTCCATTTTTTCATCCCAATATTATCCAGTTAGGACATTAAGTACCTTCAGGTTGCACAAGTAAACTGCATTTAATGAAAACTTCACATTCATGAGCAATAAAGGATTCTCCATTAGTTTTCTGATCCAAATATCATGAATATCATGACATTCTTATAGTTTCACTAAGAGTCTCTTATCTTTCCTTTTCAGAGAATTTCTGACTCTAAACTTTTAGTAGCTACTGTAGAAATGTCAGCTTAAAATAGGCCTTTTCACCCTTTTATGATAAATAGCAGTTGACTTCTACTAGGTGTTACTATATGAGAAACCATATAGTTCATCAGTTCAAATGCTTCATATTTACCTTGGCTGGCCTGGTTTTTGTTCTTCTGCTCATATTAGAAAATATTAGAAAATTTGTTGCCATCTTAAACTATGACCATACCTAGATTCCCTAGACCATGGTCCAATTTGGACTTGGTAAGTTCCTTGGTCAATGCATCAACCAAATGTAGATCAAACTTAACAAATGACAAACAAACTTCACCAGACATCTTTCTTTCTCAGTGTTGGTTTTGTTCTTTGTTTGATCATGCAGGATAGGATTTTGTGCTATCTATGTTGATTGCATACTGATTATCACAGTAATATCAATGGATTCTCTTTTGGTTAAAATAATGGAGATTTTTGGCAACCATGGATTTTCATTGGGTTAAAACAATGGAGATTTTTAAGGACTATAGTGTGGATGACATGATTAGAGGCTGGGGTGCAATAGCAGCTTCCTCCACATTGAGATCAAAATTCAAGAACAGTGGGCTCCACCATGTAATAACAGAATCAAATTGAATTTTGACGGGATTGCCTTTGGCAACCCTGAACCATTGGGTATTGGGGGAGCATTTAGGGATGGGAATGGTTCAACTATTGCACCAATAGGATATGGAGACTTTAAATGCAGAAATCACAGCCTTGTTACATGGACTGAAGCCAAGCAGATAATCTTGAGACAAGTGGAGGTTGAAGAGGATTCTATGCTGGTGGTGAGCTGGATGAATAATGATAGCCAAAGAGTTTGGACCGAAGGCAAGTCCTAAGAGAAATCTGGCAGATTGCAAGCGAGATATAGGCAATGTTTAAATGGGTAAATTGACCAGCAAATGGTTTGGCAGATACAATAGTCAAACAAGGGGTCTCTAGGGAAAATCTGTTTTGGGCTTCTCTGATTGAATAGTAGGATTGGGTGGTCAGACTTTGATTGTATAGCAGGGTTGGGTGGTGCACAAATTCTTTCGTTTAGTCTTTCTGAGTTAAACGTGTCACATACTGATTCCCATGTCCATGTAACACTGATTCCACCTCAGCCTAAGCAAATGTTACTCTCTCCAAGGAAGGAAAATCTGGTGGTCCTGGAAAAGTTGGAGGCATTTCTCCTTCTATAGGTGCAGCAGTGACCACATTAGTATTCCCTTTCTTGGTGGTGTTGTTTCAAAGTCTTTCTAGTTTTAAATGAGGATTAAGTTTCTAACACATCTCATCATCACAAGCAATCTCCTTTCATCCACATTTCTTCCCTTTCCAGTACATTGAGTCTTTGATTTTAGCTATTAAACAAGTTAAAAGTGGACTATATAGGATCTTGTAACATCACATGTCTTCTACACTCCTCACTAGTATGCACCAACCAAAAATCCTGAGAAAGCACAAATTGTATCAAGGGTAAAATGTGTTAACAAATAAGATCATGTTCTAGGTTCAATCCTTCCATGAATTTGAAACCTTATTATGATATACTCCAATGTGTTACAGCATCTTTAGCATTCTCCCATTCTATATGTTATAAGATTATATTCTAGGTTCAATCCTTCCATGAATTCGAAACCCTAGTATGCTTTACCAGCTTCCAATGTGTTACAACATCTTCAGCACTCTGACATTCTATAGTTTCAAGATGATCAATTTCATCTCAAAGTAATTTCAACTTTCAAGATAGAGAAGTAGAGAAAGAGGGATTTCTAGCATTGTTTAAGATATTCATCTTAGTCCATGGTTGGCAGGCACATGCAACATTTCTTTTGCACTTCTCATCCATATAATCTTAAACAAGAGGCTTGATGTGGATAGATAAGCAAGATATATGCAGCACTTCAAGTGAACAACAATAAACACAGCAATAAACCACTGAAAACAACAAAAACAAACTGGATTCTTATAGACTTTGGAACTGACCCCGAAGTAGAACTTCTCCTGGAACTGTTTTGCTACTTTAATAAGGGCATCTAGCTGGCCTCTCACAAGGACATGCAGAGATGTCAACCCTAGCTGGGGTTGACCTACATCTCAAAATAAGAGAACCAAAAGATCCCCACAGAAACAACCCCCTTCTCTTTTATTAGACTCAATGGCTTGCTCAGGAAGCAAGCCAACTAAAATATTTATACATAAAGCCCCAAGAATGTCTCCCCTTTTTTTTTTTGATAATTACCCTAGAATGTCTCCCCTTCAACTCCTACAGAACAAAAATAACTTTGAACGACCCCCAAAAGATTAATTTAGTTACAAGAACACCCAGGGGACCAAAACCAAACAATGGTGCACCCAAACTGCCCTTGACCAGAAATCAAATTATGAAATGACCCCTGGAACGAAATTGACTACAAAGCTTCCCAAGACAACTATTTGAGGTCCTACTACAAAAACAAACTCAAAACATATTCACATCATTTTTATTTTATTATTTTTTTCGTTCATCAAGGTTTTCAAATAAGTAGGAGTGTAGGACCAAAATAGAATATATGCTATTTAAGGAGTGCAAATCAAGGTACACTTAGGATTGGGTAAGAAGAGATAACTCAATGTGACATTTTGTTTTACCTTGATTTGAAAATTCATAACAAGGGATACTCTATAGGGCCACTAGAAACAAAGCTAGGATGAAAGTTTTGCTTGGAACTACTGCTAGTGGACTTCATTAATATCAAAGAATTTCTCACTACTACCAACAAGTATCATAGATCTTGATAAGAAATAGAAGATCATATGATATTGACTAGATCATGCTAAAATTGAAGATGAGAAATAGGATGTTGTCATTCAAAACCCCATAAAATTCAAGAAAACTTGATTTTTTAGGTTCATAAATCTATTTTGAATAAAAAAACATTGAGCACCACAATGAATCAGCTATGAATAACATCAATCAAACAAAATCCCCAATCATTGTTTTTTTCTTTTTTTTTTTCAGGAGGGGATCTCTAGAGCTTCATTCTTAGTACTGAAAATCTGAACAAAAAATCTCCAAAAATCTCTAAAAACCTAGGAGGTTTAGCATGTATTAATCATCTTTGTTAATTCTGCATATGGTTTTTTGATTAGATCTATATGGCTTCAACCCTGGAAGAAAAAGTAAACTGCAGACTTACTAAGAAGCTTTTTACCATATTCCATGACTTCTACATTAAAAGACCAGAAAGTCCACGAGACCATGACCATGTAATCCGACTCAAAATCAACATTATTAATGTAAAACATTATATTTATCTGAACTAGTCATTGTAAAATAATTATCTTGGAATATGGTACTTGTAAATGAGGAATTTAAAAATCATAATGTATCTCCCTTATTTTGCACTAAATCATGGATGTTCTTGTAATCTGTTTTGGGCCCAGGTAGATCTAGTGGCCTGGGCCTTGTTGTAACCTTCTTTTATTCTGAATAAATTACTTTACCTTTTTTCAAAAAAAAAAAAAAAATTACCTCTGGATCTGAAAGTATAACATCATCTAGAACAGGCCCATTAGTGTGAACATCTTGATTCCTGATTTTAGTGCTGCTCAACTTTGGAAGACCTACACTCTGAAGACAAAAGGTGGTTCTTAACAATAGGCAAGAAACTATGTGAAAAACATATAGTTCTTTTATCAATAACTATGTGAAAAAAATATAGTTCGAAACATACAATTAACAAATAGAAAGTTTAACGAAGAAATGTATTTCAGTACATACAGAGAGAATGTAACTGAGGTCAAGATGTTGAGTTTTCACTAGTGATATATTCCGTGGTCTTAATATATCAGTTCGTCCAATTATATCATCCATTTTCTCATAGCCCAGTTGCGCCAAGATGCCTCTGACCTGGATGGATGCTTAAAGTTTGATTAGCAAAAATTTGCAGATACAGCGGTAATTTTCCTAAAGTTTAGAATCCAGGACTAGGATGCTGAGGAAAACAAATTATTACTTGAAATGCTACATACAACAGTAATTTTCCTAATAAATTGATAAGCGTTCAAATGCCTCACCTCCTCAGCAACATACATAAAGTAATTGACCAGATCACCAGGCACACCAGGGAAACGAGCACGGAGTTCTTCTCTCTGAAGGTAATTTTGATGAAAAGCTAATGGATGTTAGAAAGGACACAAGATATGAATATGATATTACAAAATCATAAACCATTGTACCTGACTCGCTACTCCAACAGGGCAGTTATTAGTGTGGCATATGCGCGCCATTACACATCCGGTAGCAATCATTGCCACAGAACCAAATCCATATTCATCAGCACCCATGGCTGCAGCCATTAAGACATCAACCCCGCTTTTGAAGCCACCATCAACTCTTAGAATAACCCTTTCCCTAAGCCCGTTTTCAATAAGAGTCTGCAGAAGGTATCAATAATAAAGCAACACAGACATTCTCGAAAGAAAAAGAAATAGGAATAAAAAAAAAAGCATATCACATAAACCTGGTGTGTTTCTGTAAGTCCAAGTTCCCAAGGACCACCAGCATGCTTAATAGAACTTATTGGACTAGCCCCGGTTCCCCCGTCATGCCCTGATATCTGCAAATCCAAAGATAGGTCTGGGTCACAACTTTTGAAACTTCACATGCCTCATCGGGAGGGGGTATCTTAAAATACTTATAATTAAAATTTAAGAACGAAGGTAGAGTATATATTTTGTTGCATGGTCCCTAACTCTGATAATCAACACAAGTTTGGCTATTAGAAAACCTAGTTGAGCAGGGTCTAGGGCAGCAACTTGGGCTGAACATTTGCTAAAATTTGAATGGGCCTAGCTTGATGCAGTTTAAAGTCTTGCACCCCTAGCAGGGTGATGAGATGAAATTGTAAGCTAAAACTGATAAGGAGGCCTAATTAGATAGGGTAAGAAGAATAGATATTAGGAAAAGAACCCAAAGATTCTTGAGAGAAGAGTTGGCATTTGTAAAAAATTGGGGGCTTTTCTTGGGGGGATATTGAACCAAGGAATATGGTGAAGGAGCAGCAGGAAAAAAAATCCTTAGTGAGAATAACTTACATCAAACATAAGGGAGGCTATTGCAACTTGGAGGGGAGATAAGTAAAAAGCTTTGTTGGCTTCATTATAATGGGATAAACTGGAAGAATCAAGTTTGGAATGGGAGATAGGGATAGGGAAAGGCAGTTCAACAAGAAGAGGTTGGGGGGAGTTCTCATTAGTTTTGATTTTTTATTACAGGGAATTGAAATGAGGTGAATATGGGAGAGTTATCCCTGAACTGGAAGTAAATGGATTGTATTTTTTCTGTGGGTTTCTTTTTGAATGTTAACCAATTATTTACTGAGGTGGGAAATGATAATTAAATTTCTTTCTCTTCTTTTAGGCCAGTACAAAGTATCTGTCCATAAAAACAGAAATTCCAAAATGGGTACTAGGCCAAGTGAAGGATTCAATAGAATTAGAGACGTGCTCTCTGTAATGCCTTGCATTTGTCCATATTATTGAGGTGGGGAATGAGAATTAAATTTCTTTTTCTTCTCTTAGGTCAATCCAAAAATAGCCCATAAGTACAGAAATTCCAAAATGGGTACTTGGCCAAGTGAAGGATTTAACAGAATTAGATATGCGCTCTCTGCAATGCCTTGCATGTGTCCATATAAGTTGGTATTATTACCAAAACAATACCATAGAAAACAACACAAAAAGCCCTTGACATGGACATGTGTACAAACAATGGTGATTGGTTAGACTGCATCTCTAATCCAACTTGCAAGAGTATGATTAAAAAATTTGAATTCCTCTAGTCAACAATAACTAGTCTTCCTAAGCTTCCTTAGTGCACCTGTACTGTTTGCTCAACATTATTTTTACGGATAAAGTGCACATATTAAAATTATCTTTCTCCTTCTCTCTTCAATAGAGATAATCCAAAAAAAAAAAAAGAACCAGTAAGAGGAACCATCCAATATAATTTAATTTACAAATTTTGAAATGATATAGGGCTGCAAACATATCAGATTGAATCAGATAAACTAATACCCAAATCAGGTATCAAGAAATGGTGGAATGGAAATCAATTCTGGGGTTAAGCACTTGAAAAAGTGGCAAAAAATTTTGAATGGAGGCTTCCAAATATTTCTCTATGGATGACATTAGAAGAGCTTGAGGAGTGGTGGAAAACTCTTCAACAATTAAAGACAAAGTTTACTTGGAATGGAAGCCTCTGTCAAAGTATTAAACAGTAGAGTGAAACTGAATTCTGATGGTCTAACCAATCCAGGCCTGTCATGGATTGGAGGTGTATTTATGGATGATAAAGGTGTGGTAGTGGCAATGTACTCAGGTCTGATTGGTATTGGAGGCTCTTTAAAATCCGAGGCAATGACACTTTTACAAGGGATGAGAATAGCTAAACAGCTTGGACTTCAGCAGGTGGAGGTGGAGGGGGATTCAAAATTAGTTACATCTTGTATAATAACAATTCAGGCATTTGGGCCTATAGGTGTCTAAGGCTGCGTTTGGTTGCAGTGCAAATTTGCACTCAGTGCAATTCTGGTTTACTTTCACTTCAGATTTGGCTTTGTCTTATTTATTTGAGAAGTAAAATAGGAACTAAAATTAAGTGACCTCCGTTTTAAATGAAAGAGAATGGGGGTAGGGAGGAGGGGTATCTGTCTAGGAGTGAGGTAGGATGCAAGATGATGTGATTGGCACTTGAGAAAGAATTGGGGTAGGAGGAAGGTGGTGCAAATTTTGCATCAGTTTTTGGGATGCAAAGTATGCACTGCCAGTGAGTGTAAAAGAGAAAAAAGTACAAATTTTGTATCAGATGGGAATGCAAATCATAATTACAAACAAATGAAAGCAAAGGAGTTGGGAGCCACTTCCAAATGGACTAGGGGAACTGCAAATGGGATGGCTGGCTCATTAGCTAAAAGGGAGTCTACAGTGAGCATCTATTCTAGGCACAATTGTAATAGGGTTCTGAATGTAAAGTTAAAAGGTGGCTCAATTGTTTTCCAGCTCTAATCCACACTCATTTACTTTAATTAATTTAATGCAATTTTCAGTTATTAAAGATCTAGCATTGCCCCATCCCTCAATACCTAAATCCACTAAGATTCCATTTAACCCTTCTGAAATAGGAATGCAATTGGCTGGTCTAAAAGACTTGGCAACTAATATCCTCATGTGCCTCAGGCCATTAGAGAAGAGCTTAGAGTTTGTATCTTCCTGAATACACTACATGATGGCTGTGTAGAGAACACTGATGTGGACCCCACTGCTATGGTCCCCACTGTGTTCGTATGGCAGCATATTTTTGTTAGTTATGTCAGTGTTAGTTGGTAGTTATTTCAGTTTGTTATTACAGCTTGTTATTTCAGCTTTATTATTAGTTTATTTGCCATGTAAGCAATAAGGGCAATTCAGCCCTTTTACAATTAGTCAACATATATAAATATTAAGAGTGGGTCGGCAGATCAACTGATCAACCCTCTCTCTCTTTTCAAAATCTCTTCGTGTGCTTCTTCTTTTTCTCCTCTTCTTCTTCTCTTCTGAAATTTCTTCTTTCTTTTCTTTTGAATTCAAGACTGATTGTAGTCTTGATCGACTACTGGCTGCAAAGGAAGATACTTGATCATCCTCCTTTTATTAATTCCCCTACGGGCCTGAGCTATAACCAAGTACGCAACAGCATATCTATGTATTCAACCATTATTTATGATATCTATTTATTTATATCTTTATATTCTATTGTTATTGATATTGGTGATGTATATTCTACTATATATTTTATGTCTTGGTCTAATGGTAAAACCTTGGGCTTACAAACATGAGAATGCAGGTTTGAGTCTGAGAACAGCCACATTGTGCATAAAATAATGCCAAAGTTAGGTCCTTATTCAGTCCACTCATCCCAAGATCCCAAGAAGCATCTATGCATAGATTAGCTACTGATGGACCATGGTCCCACAGTTTGACAATAACAGTAACAATAGCAATAACAACAACCATTAGTAGTAGTAAAAGAGGAATGCTAATCTTACTATCAAGGATAGGATTAGAAATCCATTGTCATTACTAGCTTTACATGTGATCATATAAAGGGTATTTGTCCATCCAGATGGGGTTGGTGGATGTTGTAGTAATCTACACAGCTATTTATGGACACATATAACTCTGACAGAAAGTAGATCTCCAGCTCAATATTTTAAAATGCAAAGGTGTGACACAAGGCATTCCACTACCTGGAGGCGTGAGGTTTAGTTCAGAACGTAAGAGGCATAAGCTTCCTGAACACATGGAGGTGTAAGCTTCCTTAAAAGGAGGATGAGGAAGAAGAGGTGGAAGGAGGATGGAGATAAATAACACTATTCTTTCTTTTCCTTCCCTTTCCTTTCCTTGTTTTTTCTTTCTTCTCTTTCTTTCTTTCCCTTCCCTTTTTTTCTTTTTTCTTTATTTTTTTTATCTTTCTTTCTGTCTTCTTGTATGAGGCATGCATGAGGCATATGCCTCTAGCATGCCTCATGGAAAAATGCATATAAGGCATACACCTCTTGCACCTTAGGTGTATGCCTCAGAGGCATCAGTGCCTCTGGCATATGCCTCAGGTTTTGAGGGCACCTCACCTGGAGGCGCACCTTTTAAAACATTTCTCCAACCATAATATAGAATGCAGGATTGATATTTCTTAGGAAAAAATAAGATATTGTAATAGTCAAGAGTGAATACCTGTATTATATCAGCATTACCCTTTGCAACACCAGAGGCGACAGTGCCAATTCCAGCTTCTGCCACCAGCTTTACAGATACCTTTGCCTTAGGATTTACCTGCTTGAAGCATATTAGTTATTATCAATGAAATTTAATAGAAACTCTACACCTATGATAAAGAACATTTTTTCTTATAAGAACTTCTATAATTAAGAATGACCAGACTTAAAGACAGCAAGCTTTCTACCAAAAAAAGACACAGAAAGTATCACCTGATGAAGGTCATATATTAACTGAGCAAGATCTTCAATTGAATAAATGTCATGGTGTGGAGGTGGAGATATAAGTGGAACCCCAGGTTTAGAATTCCTCAATCTTGCTATATAAGCACTGACTTTTTTTCCAGGCAATTGACCACCCTCTCCAGGCTTTGCTCCTTGTGCAATTTTGATTTCCAACTGATCAGCATTGACCAAGAATGTGGGGGTAACACCAAAGCGTCCAGAAGCAACCTGAAAAAAATGAAACGATAAAATAAGTTAAACCATAGAAGATACAAGCATCCTTAAAGGATAACCAGCTTTAGTTATTAATGTTATCGTTCTGAATTCCAATTTTATCTGGAAACACAGCCATTTAAATTACATCATTAGCTTACTGCAAACTGCTTTAGCAACTTATTCACTAGTTATGTACAATTTCAGTACCTGTTTAATTGCACTAGTAGCAGTATCCCCATTTTGAAGACCTTTGAGATGTGGAAGCGTTGGAGAGTAACCATCTACAACATCTGTAAGTGGGCTCCAACGAATAGGATCCTGGATATAAAAGGATCATGATTTTTATGAACTTTAAGGAGGGTTACCATGACCCAGGGAATGTACTAAGAATTGGACAAAGATGATGTAGAATCAAATTTAAGTTTTACGGTCACAAACAAGTGATGGAGAAGCTACCTCACCACCTTCTCCTGAGTTAGATTTTCCACCTAGTCTATTCATTGCAATTGCAATTGCTTCATGAGTTTCTCTGGAAATTGCTCCGAGTGACATCCCACCAGTGCAGAAGCGCTGGACAATAGAAGCTGCAGATTCAACCTTTCCAACTGGAATTGGGGGCCGGTCACTTTTAAATTCAAGAAGATCTCGAAGAACCTAAGTGCAAAACACCAAGGTATATGTAAGTGTGAGAATTTTTCGCCAGAGGAAAAAAAAAAAAGAAGTTTATATTTAAACATGAGAAAAAAGAATCTTCAGAAACTCACATTCACAGGTCTGTTAGCCAGGTGCTGCTGATAAATGGAATAGACACTTTCATTCTTTTGGCGAACTGCTTTATGAAGTAACTTTGACATCTCTGGGTTATTCCCATGATATTCCCCTTTTGATAAATAACAGAAAGGTGCTTCAGCAATCTTATATATGGAGGCAAGCTTTCATACCGTGGTGAACTCAGTCAACTTACATGGCATTTGTAAATATGGTTTGTGAGCAAGGCATGAAATAAGTCTAGTATAATTTAGAGAACATTGTTTAAAATACAAACTTAATTCACATACAAGAAACCAGAAATTGACTAATAATAAAATGTTATAACCATGGATGTTAGAACCAATGGATCCATAGAGATCCAATGTGTTCATACCAAGATAGAACAGAATCCATTCCAAGATAACACTATTTAGATTAGACAGTTAATATCTATGACTCATTATGCTAATTGACTCAAGATCTATTACCAGTTTGTACCAAATTACTTTTCAATTAGCTGAAATTGCCAAAAGGAGGTTAAGGACAAGAAGAAGAGGAGAAAGAGGTAGAGAGGAAGGTAATGGAAAGGTTGTTCATCATTGAATTTTTGTTTTTTTTTGCTCTCAACCATGAAATCAAGACTTAGGCTGTAACTTCATTGGACCCAACCAAAGCCCGAACCAACTGAACCTTAGCTTTGGCACTGGCTTTACTTCAATTTTCAGGCGCTGGTTGGTCCTAGGCCTGAAAAAAAAAAATTAAGCTCGACTACAACTCTGTTTGGCCTCAGGTAGCCCAAGCCCCAACAAAACCTGGCCCCATTCAACCTTCTATAATATATTTATCCCAAGTATATGTGTATTGTATATTTAGGTATACATGTATATATACTATGTTAGAGAATAAAAACCTATTCAGGGACCTTACCTAACAGATTAAGCTTTTAGGTTGAATAGTTCCTTGAGATACTATATATTTACACTTGTGTATCCTCTAGAGTACATTTACAATATGTATACATTTAACCTAGGCCCGTAACTCATGCCCAAATGCATACAAAAACACATATTAAGCAGTTTGCATATGCAATATGTTACTTACGTATTAAGTAATGACATTTGTATATATTTTTCTTTTATTCTATATTGAATTACAAAGCCCAAATGAAGTCCAAGTGAAAGACAGAAGTGCAGAACATGAGTGATGCTAGATTTAGTTTTATTTCTGCTGTTAGTGTGCTCTCAGCCTAGGATGCTGTCAGCATGTTCTTTTCTTCGTTTAAGTTCTTATTATTAGGGTGTGCCGCTAGGGGCATGTTAGTAATTCTTCTATTCTTTTATTTTACATCATGTTAATATAAATAGGAAGCTGGGCACCGCCAGCTTAATTTTTTGACTATGAAACACTTTTCTTTCTCTCATCTTCTCTTCCTTTCTCTCTTCTAGAAAGAAAGCATGGTGATAGAGCATAACTCTGGGAGATAGGAGTCTCTTTTCTCCTCTGAATCACATTCATCCCACCTAGTTTTCTGATTCTTTGATAGTGAAGGCAAGAAACCCTAATTGGACTGATCAAAACCAACTGTTGCTGTTTTTTCTTGGTTCTTCCTTGGTCACAGCACCAAGGTAACCCTAATAGGAGGGGGCTGATGCTGTGAGGGCTCTCTTTCTTTTGGCTGATGCTGTGAAGACTTGGTCTTGGACCTGCACCTTCGTACAGGTGCTGTACAGGGGTGTGTGATCCCCTTTTTTGTCACAAGTATGTGCAGTGATTGGTTGGTGTGTGTTGTGTGTAGACCAATGGTGACTGTAGTCTAATTTTCTGGACTGTTCCTGGATGGTTTAATTGCTGCTATAGGATTTCAGCAGCGTGGTTTGTTATTTCTGGACGGTTTTTTGAATTGTCTAATCTTCTGGACTGTTCCTCAATGGTTTAATTACTGCTAGAGGATTTCAGCAGTGTGGTTTGTTATTTCTGGACTGTTTTTGAACTGCTTAGTTGCTGCAATTGGACTACAGCAGTGGATTCTTTATTTCAGAAGCAGATTTCTTGGTGTTTAGTGCCCTAACTGTGACTGTGAGAGGTAGTAGTTGAGTGGGGACTGGTCTTGTGCACCTGTGGTTTTGAGTTGCCTTGTAGTCTTTATTTCTGTCAATGGTAAATGATGATTCTGCCTCATCTGGGGTTACATCAACCCATAGTACAGCTGGTATGGGAGCTGAAAATATGATATTTCCTATGCCAATTACCCCTTTAAATGGCCTGAACTACCTGGAGTGGGCTAAAGGTGTAAAATTTTATGTAACGGCAAGGAAAAAACTGGGTACATAAATGGAAGAGTGAAAGAACCCAAGAATGGGACAGCTGAACATGATAGGTGGGACCAAGAGAACAGTATGGTGATGTCTTGGCTTCTTGCAGCCATGGAACCTGATGTGAAGAAGAACTTTATGTGGGCAGGTGCTGCTAGTGAAACATGGGAACAAGCCAAAAACCACCTATTCTGAGCAAAGGCACTATGCCAAGATTTACCAATTACAAACTGAATCCTCAACCTGTAAATAGGGGAATCGTAATTTTCCAGCCTATTATTCAGCCCTTACTTTAGTATGGAAGGAGTTGGACCACAATCAAGCTATAGAATGAAAACATGATGACGATGCTAAAGCCTATAAGAAGTTGGTTTCTCAAAGCGGGTTTTTGCTTTCATGTTGGGACTAAACCTGTATATGAATCTCTTAGAGTTCAGATTTTAGGGAGTAAAGAGTTGCCTTCAGTTCAAGAAGTGTATGCCCTAGTTCAGTCTGAGAAAAGTAGGTAGAGTGTGATGGTTACAACTGAGGGGCAGCAACAAGTGGCATTGGTTGCAATTGGTGGTAACAATATGGGAAAGAAAAATGACTCCAAGAAGGCTGATGATAAGGACAAGTTGTTTTGTACCCACTGCCTGCATTCAAGACATACACGAGACAATGTTGGGAGCTCCATGGGAGGCCAAAGTGGGTTGTAAAGAACCAAGAATAGGGTAAGGTGCAGGGTAAGAAGAAGCCTAATACAACACATAATGTGGCAAATGTGGCAACCCAAGATACTCAGTCTGTTGGGGTGTCGACTGGTATTGCTTGGGAGTACTTCACTGATTTTAACCCAAAGGAAGACATCATGAATTCCTCCCGAAATCATTTGAAATCATATGGTAAGGCCTTGTACTAGATGGGCAATTCAGTTACTGGTACCACTTCTACTTCATTTGTGTCTACATCAGGTAATGCACCCTTTGCTTTTCATGTATCCACTACCACTGATTCTCCATGGATCATTGACTCAAGGGCCTCTAACCACAGGACCAGTAAGCCAAACCTTTTGTCAAGAAGGGATAAGGTGAGACTTGTAGATGGACCATTCTCCTCCATTGCAAGCCAAGGATCAACATCCCTTCCTCATGGACTTAACTTGAATAATGTTTTGCATGCCCCTCAACTTCCCATCAATCTGCTTTCCATTAGTAGTATCACAAAGTCTTTAAACTACAGTGTAACCTTTTTTCCTAGTTCATGTGTTTTTCAAAATCTAACTTCTGGGAGGATGATTGGTAGAAGAAGCTTAGTGGATGATCTCTACACTCTCGACAACAAGGCTGGTTTCTCGGTGCCATCCTTAGAGTCGCATAGTCAGTCAAATTTTTTTGTTGCATAACCGGTTAGGTCATGTGTCTTTTGAAATAGTGAAGTCTTTGTTTCCTTATTTATTTAAGTCATTTTCAGTGTCAGATTTCCAGTGTCAAACATGTTAGTTAAACAAGCAATGTAGAACAATATTTCATTCAAGTAATAAAACATCAAGTTTCCCTTTCTATATTGTGTATTCTGTGTGGGGGGTCTACTACTATAACTTCAGAGAGCGGGTATAAGTATTTTATCACATTAATTGATGATTTCTCCCGCTATACATGGGAATTTCCCATGCGTAGCAGAGACGAAGTTCCAGAGATTGTGAGGGATTTCCAAAGGATGGTGTTTATACAGTTTCACGTTGAAATTCAAATTTTTCAATCAGACAATGCAAAGGAATATTTCCATGGTGAGCTCAATGAGTTCTTTGCTTCCCATGGATCCATTCATAGGAGCTCATGTGCAAGAACACAACAACAAAATGGTGTTGCAAAAAGAAAGAACAGACACCTCCTTGAGGTCGCATGAGGGATGATGTTATCAATCGCATGCCCTCCAGAGTGTTGAACTACAAGGCTCCTCATTAGTTGTTCCCCCAATCTCCTTTGTTTTTTCATTCCCATGAGAGTGTTTGGTTTTCGTGTTTTTGTCCAGGATTTATCTCCGTCTTGTGGTAAGTTAGACCCTCGGTCTATTCCATGTATCTTTCTGGGGTAACCCTCCTCTTAAAAGGGTTATCGGTGCTTTGATCCCATGTATCTTTCTACACTCTTCTTTTTTGAGTCTAAACCATTCTTCCCTACTTCTCCTCAAGGGGAGAGTAGCGTGGAAGAGAAGCATGTCTAAGTCCATCAAGTCTTTCTTCCTTCTATTTCGGATCCTACTCCTTTTCGTGTCTTCCAATGTACACGTCATAGATATCAGCAATGTGACAAAGATGTGGAGCCACCAAACATTGAGCAACTGACACCTTCATACTCCAAGGAGGTAAGTCCAAAAGAACTAGGCATATCCCACTTGTTGATACCCCAACTCCCACTTTGATTGTGGATAACCTTCACATTCCAATTGCTCAAAGAAAGGGAGTCAAGTCATGCACTACCAAACACCCCATAACCCAATATGTCTCCTATAACCACATTTCCTCCTCTTACCATGCCTTCCTATCTGTAGTTGATAACATCCCCATACCCAGAAATGTTGCAGAGGCTTTAAAATACCCTGAATGGACAGATGCTATGAAGGAGGAGATTAATGCCCTCCATAAGAATCAGACTTGGGAGTTGGTGCATCAGTTGGATATAAAGAATGCCTTCTTAAATGGTGACTTGGAGGAGGAGGTGTACATGGTTCAACCCCCAGGTTTCTGTGCCAAAGGAAATGAAAATAAGGTGTGCAAGCTAAGAAAGTCCCTCTATGGTTTAAAACAATCTCTAAGGGCATGATTTAGTAAATTTCATATGGCGGTCCAGCAAGTAGGATTCAAACAATGTCAGTCTGATCACACTCTCTTTGTGAAGAGATGTCAGGAACAGGTTGATGTACTAATAGTGTATGTGGATGACATCATCATTACAGAAAGTTGGAGCTCAGAAATACAAAGGTTGAAGGGGTTCCTAGCCTCCCAATTTGAAGTGAAAGATCTGGGTCCACTAAAGTACTTTCTTTGAATTGAAGTTGCCCGCTCAAAAAGGGGCATCTTCATTTCTCAGAGGAAGTATATCCTTGATCTGTTACAAGAAACTAGCAAGTTAGGTGCAAAGCTAGTAGATACTCCTATGGATGTTGATCATAAACTGGGTGATGGTGAACCTTTGAAAGATGTGAAATAGTTCCAAAGGTTTCTGGGAAGGTTGCTCTATTTGTCCATGACACATCCAGACATTGCTTATTCAGTTGGGGTCTTGAGCCAATTCATGCATTCCCCTAAGAGACCACACATGGAGGCAGTAGAGAGGATTCTTAGGTATTTGAAGAAGTACCTAAGAACAGGTTTGCTATTCAGCAAATATAATCATTTGAATGTGGAAGTTTACACAGATGCTGATGGGACAGGTGTTGTGAATGATAGAAAGTCCACAGATGGGTACTGTACATTTGTGGGAGGAAATCTAGTGACATGGAGAAGTAAAAAAAAGGTGTAGTTGCAAGGTCAAGGGCTGAAGCGGAGTATAGGGCTATGGCACATGGGGTGGCTGAAGTACTTTGGCTGAAGAATCTTCTAGGGGAACTTGGGATTATTGTTCACAATCCTATGTCCCTTTACTATGACAATAAGGCAGCTATAAATATTGCTAGCAATCCCGTCCTACACGGTAGGACCAAGCACATTGAAGTGAACAAGCACTTCATAAAAGAAAAATTGGAAAAGGGAGAAATTTGTACTCCTTATGTCAACTCCAAGGAGCAACTAGCCAATGTTCTCACAAAAGAGCTTCCATACTTGCGACATAATGAGTTGTGTGACAAGTTGGGCATGATAGATATATTCAGCCCAACTTGAGGGGGAGTGTTGTTAGATTTAGTTTTATTTCTGTTGTTAGAGTGTTGCCGGTCTAGGATGTTGTCAACATGTTCTTTAGTTCTTATTATTAGGGTGTGCTGCCAGGGGCATGTTAGTAATTCTTCTATTCTTTTATTTTACATCATGTTAATATAAATAGGAAGTTGGGTGCTGGCGTGCTGGCAGCTTAATTTTTTGACTCTCAAACACTCTTCTTTCTCTCCTCTTCTCTTCTTTTCTCTCTTCTCTCCTCCCCTCTCTCTCTTCTAGAAAGAAAACAATGAGTAAGACAGCTTTTAACCCCACATTATGTGTTTTTGTAGAGGGAAGAGGTCTTTCAGGTCTTCAGACTTGTTAAATGTTTTTGTAGAGAAATTGCCACAAGCAATGGAGTCACATCAGACAAGCAAGATCCATCCATATCACTAGCCCATCTATTTTTCCTTTTTATGTTAGCAAAAAAGGGGCACACATGCTTTTCTTTCAATAAAGTCAATTTTGGTCACTGTTATTTGTTGTACATTGTCTCGTTATGTGTTAGGGGTATTTCTGTCCTTTCATCTATTTTTACGTAACCCTAAAAGAATAAGTGGGGGCACTGCCTAACCCACTTTTGACTTTCTTCTCAATTCTGTTTTCTCTTCTTCCAACTTTCTTTTTGATATCTAAAGACCAAATGCCAAAGCATTCTCTTCTTCCAACATTTCTTTCTCTTTTGTTTTTTTTTTGGATCAGCAACATTTCTTTCTCTTCTCTTCTTACTTCTTCTCCAGTTCAGATCTAATCACATTACTGATAAAAAAAGAAGATAGAAGACAAGAAGACCTACTTGCATGAGCACAAGCAAGCAATCTTAACACCAACACCTAGAATTTGAAGGAATCATTTAAAGAAAATAGGGGTACAACTGATCAAAAAAGGAAGGATGCATATGCTAAATGTTCTATATTGTTTATTTTATTGCAGACTTGTAGTTATAGTTTTCAAGGTGGGCCTAGTCGGCTAGGCAATGAGTTTTTTTTTTTAAATAAAAAAAGCATACAACTTATGGCATTTCCCTGCGTTTCATAGTAATCAGCAGCAACCTTTAACCAATAATTACCATAACCCTCATGAAAAAGTATAAACCTCATGTCAAAACATAGAAAATCAACATATTTAGGAGAAGAAAAATAAGGAAGAAAATAAAACATAGAAAATATAGGTATAGGTCCTTGTTTTCTTCCCCAAGGAAGAAGGAAATGCAAAAACTTGGAAAGTAAAAAGAAAAAGGGGTGGAGCCCCTATCTTTGACCCAGTAAAGAGAAAAAAAGAAAGGGGCAGAAGAAGAAAAGAAGAATACATTCCATGGTTGTTCTTGTGTGTTGATTGTTGTCTTAGAGGGTTCAAGACTACATCACCAGCTTGTGTGCCAATTGAACCCAAACAGATAAGAATATAATAAAAGAAACTAGTAATAAGAATTATAAACCTATAGAATGAATAAATTAGTTAATAATATGTGGGTGCTTGGGTGAGGCAACCACAATATGTAGTCATTATTGACAAATATATGAGGTTGAATCATTGCACTTAACAAATTGGTGTCTGGCCAACTGATCAATGCCTAGGCACCAAGTAGTCAACACAGCACATAGGAATGCCAAATCAACTAGCCATTGGCTGCACTGCTCTCAACATTCTTTTTCCTTTGCAAATTTCTTTGTTTCATATTAACAAAATATTTACTTTAAAAAATGGTGATGATGTTCAAGAATCTTTAGGAGTCTTCAAGCGAGTGAGAGGAACCTGGAAGGTCTACAAGATTATTATGTAATAGTAGGAATTTTGAATTAAGATTTCAGGTTTTGGTTTTCCAAATTCCTATTAACTTTTGATTGCTTGACTTGGCAACTTATAGGAGGTTCTTTTCTTTGGTTTTCATTAAGAATCTTGGGCCTGATAATTATACATTTATTAATAAAGGAGTGTATACATGAATAGTAAGTAATGATTGATCAAGTAACAAAGGGTAGGTAAGGATGAAGTAAATGCTTGTGTTAACTTTCAATGGATGCATAGTCTTAACCATTGAAGCCATTTAATGTAATCTTGGAAATTCCTAGCAAAATCTTTGTTTGATGACAAAGGATACTACCTCCTGGTCTGAATTGTATAAACCCAAAATTTTCTAGTCTCTTAGCTGTGTCCTCTGAGAAAGCCTTCACCCAGAAAGATAAAGTTTCCCTTGCCAACTGGAGGAAAAAAAATCTAATAAGAAAAAACATCGATATGAAAGTACAAAGTACAAAAGGCTCTTGAGTAAATACTCTAGAAAATAAAACCAGACTAATGTAACAAATAGTATATGATTAAATTAGTTAACATATCATCAAAAATTTCTAATTGAGGCCATGCAATGAATTCTATCCATGCTAAGTTACTCATTTATAGAGGGGTTGAAGCTGAGATTGAAGATATATCCAGCTTTTAAAAGAAATAACTAAATGTTCAAAATTTTAATCTTGGATTATCTTTTGAAATCAACTGCTGATCAAATGCCATGTAAAGTAGAGAATGCTCCATCAACTCTGTAATGTTTCTTACCTCATCGAGAGTTAGGCCACCAATGTTTGACACACTTCCACAAAATGCAAGATCAACAATATCTTTACCTAGCCCATAAATCTCAAATATCTGTGCCCCACAATAACTGAATCAAGAAAAGTAGTAAGTGTCACCATCAATATACTGAAACGACACAGGAAATAGACACAAACACAGTTTGCAATTATAAATAGCAAATGCATATTGTTGAGGATTTTTACATTTTTGTTACTTGATTTTTGCTTATTAATTGTTTAGTTAGGAAGTGGGGACCACAGCATATTATTTGGGAGCTTTTAGAGTTGTGTTTTTATGTTTTTTATTGAGTTTTTTTGTATCAGACGCCCTATAAGGGCATATCAGTTTATTTAAAGTATAAATACTAATGGGAGAGGGCAGCCAGATTAGTTTTGCCTTCTCTTCCTTTTTTCACTCTTTCTCTTCTTCTTCTCTTCTCTTACAAAACCACTTCTTTTCTTCCTCTTTCTTTTACAGTTTTTTTGTTTCAGCAGATTTCTACTTGGTGTCAAAGCAAGGCTAGGATTTCTTGAGATTGATTCATGCAGTCCTAAATCAGCCAATTACATGAGGAGATAGAGGGCCGATCAATCTACTTCAGATTGCCCAGTTCTTGGACTTTTTGGTGGGTTTCAGTCATCAAGAAGGTGATCTGTATTTTGGCATCAAAATCAAGAAAAACTGGAGTCTCGAGAAGAGTCCTAGTCAAGTTGGATTCTTCAGTTTTGACCTGGTGTTGGGTGCTCAGACCTTTCTGGATTTCTTTAAGTTTTTTAAAAGGGGAGGTTCATTTTTTTAAAGTTGGACTCTTCTACCTAATCCTTTTTTGTTTTCGAACTGATTAAGTTGAAATGGAGGGTTGGAGTACTGATCCTGGGTCTGGGTGTAGGAGGTACTAGTGATCCTATTGGGTTTAGGATTATTACCACAGTAGATTGGATGGTACAAACTATTTAGAATGGGCACAATCAGCAAAGATGGCTTTAATTAGGGTACATTACTAGGGAAGAGAAGAAACCTGATACAAATTCTTCCTGATGGATGCAGGAAAATTACATGGTGATGTCTCTTGGTTGTGTTATTCAATGTTATGTGACATTGGTAATTTTTTTTTTTTTGTGGGCTAATACTACAAAGGAGTATGGGTAGCTTTTAAGTAAGAAGGATCCGACTGGTTCTAGCTCTTCAGGTAGGCAACAAAGTGTAGGAAACTCAGGAGCCAATCACACTACTTTTACTACACAGGTAGTTCATATGCTACTGCTAATTATGCATCCACCTTAGGTAAGGAGGGACCTCCCTGGATTATAGACTTAGGAGCATCTGAGCGTATGATCAATATGTCTACCCTTTTTCTTCTTACCATTTGTATTCTGGTAGAGATAGAGTCTCTACAGTAGATGGTTCTCATATTCCCATTGCTAGGAGAGGGACAGTTAGGGTGACTAATGGCATTACTTTGTCCTCTGTTTTACATGTTCCTAGACTTCACACTAATGTTTTTCTGTGAGTAGATTGATAAAAAAAATTGAATAGTTCAGTGACTTTCCTTGTAATTGTGTTTTGCAAGATTAGGAGTCAAAGAGGACGATTGGGAATGGTTGTGAGGTGAACGGAGTGTACCTTCTAGATGAGCTTCCGAGATATCAGAGTCACCATGTTAATAGCAGCAGTAATTGGTTAGAGTCAGTGAGTCTGATTATGCTTTGGCACAATCATTTGGGTCATCTTTCTTTCAATTTATTGCAACATTTATTTCCAACATTCTTTGAGTCTATTCAGTTGTCTAGTCTGGAGTGTGAAAGTTGCCAGTTAGGAAAGCATTGTAGACATTCTTTGAGACCAAGTAACAAAAGAAGTTCTTCTTCTTTTGATATTGTTCACACTAATGTACGGGGACCTTATCATATTTCTTCCATGGGTGGTTACCACTATTTTCTTTTGTTGATGGATGATAATATTTGGTATTCTTGGATATACTTGATGAGATTGCGTGATGAGGTACCTATTTTGGTGCAATAATTCGGGATGGTTCTCACACAGTTTGGAGTGAGGACTAAGATTTTCAAATTAGACAATGCTAGAAAGTACTTCAAGAAAGATTTAGCCACATATTTATTGGAGCATGGATGATTCATTAGAGTAGTTGTGCTTATACACCATAGTAGAATGGGGTGGCAGAGAGGAAAAATATACACATTGTGGAGGTGGCAAGAAGTCTTATGTGTAGAGACTAATTTATGTCTCTTACATCTTTCCTTTTTTAGCTCTTGGGAGCACATATTTATGTTGTATCTTATGTACATTATCATTTTTTGTTTTATTCTTACTTGTAAGTGAGGGTCATTGTCGACACAAATTTCATGTATGAATCCAAATACAAGAAAAATGAAGACAAATTCAAATAAATTGATTTTCTTATATATTTGAAATAAATAGGATACAAACTCTTTGGATTTGAATTCTCTTACAAAAGAGATAGAACCTTTGATTCTCTCTTGATTGTGCTTCTTGAAACATGAGGATTTGGATTGAATTGAAGCCGAGGGTCGGATAATGTGCTCTCGTACTTTAGAAAATGACGAAGATTGCTTCCCTCAATTGGGCTTTGAAAGCTTGATCAAAAGAAGGATTTTGCAAGAACTCCGAGTGTGTTGTAGCTTTGCTCTTCAAAAAGTTGTGGATTTGTTTCCTCCTTCTCCAAGACCTTTCTAACTTCACTTAGTTTCTTCCTAACTCCAAAAAATCCCCTCCCACTTGATGGGAACCCCTATTTATAGATTTCTTGGTTTAATCTCTTAATCCCCTTAATTGAGGATTTGATTAGCTTTTCTTACCCTTTATAGATAGTGAAAGGGTAAGGTCAAGGTTGGGCAGGTTGCTTAGATGACAGGAGATCAACATCAAGAGAGTGTACCTTTGTGGTAAGAAATTTGGTTTCATGGAAAAGTAAATAGTCAATGGTGGCAAGGTCAAGTGTAGAAGTCGAGTATAGATCTATGGCCCATGGTGTTTCAGAATTACTTTTGATTATGTCCTTGTTGAGTGAGATTGGGATAGATGCAAAGGAGTCTATGATGTTAATTTGTGACAATCAAGCTGCAATCAATATTGCCCACAACCTAGTTCAGCATCACAAGACAAAACATATTGAAGTTGATAGACACTTCATAAGAAAAAGGGTGACAATTGGAGAAGTTTGCCTCCCTTATGTCTCTTCTGAATTACAGTTGGCTGATGTCTTCACCAAAGGGGTTGCAAGGAGTAAGCTTGAACATGACCTATGCAAATTGGGAATGTGTGACATTTACTCCTAACCTGAGGGGGAGTGTTGAGGGATTTTACAGTTTTGTTACTTGATTTTTGTTTAGTTAGGAAGCGAGGACCACAACATATTATTTGGGAGGCTTTTAGAGTAGTGCTTTTGTGTTTTTTATTGAGTGTTTTGTATCAGCCGCCCTATAAGGGCATATCAGTCATTATACATAGTTTTTATTTAAAGTACGAACACTAATGGGAGAGAGAAGCCAGATTAGTTTTTCCTTCTCTTCTTTCCTTCACTCTTTCTCCTCTTCTTCTTCTTCTTCTTCTCTTCTCTCACAAGACCATTTCTTTTCTTCCTCGTTCTTTTACACTTTTTTGTTTCAGCAGATTTCTACTCATATAACCACTGCCACAATGTAAAACAGAATCAACAAAAGGAACATTCAAAATACCAACCTAGAAAGCAATGATATGCCCATCTTTGAAAGAATCTTGAGAAGACCAGATTTGACTGCCTGAAATAGTATCGAGCAATTAGTATGCCCTTTTGATGAATGGGTACATAGAACATTGGAGTTGCAGAACCACCTCTATGGCCCCAAAGTAGATAACCACAACTAACAACAGAAGTAACAGCAACAGCAATTGTAATAGTAATAGTAAAATGATGATGATGATGATGACAGTAACTTGTTTTGGAAAATTTTCATTATTTTGATTTTGGTTGAAGGAACCAAAAACAAAACTTAGATTATTTCAGTGACACTTAGGTGAAATTTGGGCTCTTTCATATTTGATAACTTGTTTTTGGTTTTTCACATTTGATAACTTGTCACCAGGATTATTTCAGTGACAGTAACTTGTTTTGGAAAATTTTCATTATAAAATAATGAAAAATTTTCATGTTTGATAACTTGTCACCATGATTATTTCAGTGACAGTAACTTGTTTTTGGTTCCTTCAACCAAAATTGAAATAATGAAAATTGATACATCACCAAAAATTGATTCATCAGGCACCAAGCAGAACAAAATGGCAGACCAGGATTCACGAATCATGTAGCCAACCCCATCTAGTTGGGACAAGGATTCTTAATCAGGATAACTCTTGTGATCTACTACTTTCTGATATAAAGGGTTATCTGGCACCAATAAAACCAAAATTGGAATTTTCTGAATTTTTGTGTTTTATTTTAGATAGCAAATATATTTTTGTCACTACATATATTGTTTTGGGGTTTGGCCTAGTAGTTTGATTTGTCTAGTTATATTTAGTTTGTGCTTAAATTATCAGATTCATGGGTTATAAGTCATTTAGGAGTTATTATGTTTTCTTAAACAGTGGTAATTCTGTAATTTCAGTTTCCTAGTTCTAGTAGGCTGGGCCACCCCCATAGAAGGATCATTCCTAGCCCAGCTTGGAACGTACATACATATGATATATAGTATATATATTATACTATACTATATTAAATAAAACATATATACACAAAATAAAAAATATCTTATTATAGGCCCTAAAGCGGTAAAGCCTAAGATACACCCCTTAAATAGGTGCTAAGCCAGGCCAAGCCCATGATCATCCCTACATATAATGTCTATATATTTATGTTCAAAAATGCAGAGACAGTTTTGGAATGATATTTAAGTTTTTTGGTGCATATCATGCTTACAATGAGTGATTCCCATAAAACCTAGAGTGACTCTAAGGTTCCATTTAGTGATTCTGAGTTTTCTCCCTCTTCTTTTTCTCTCTATCCACCCTCTAATTTGGCAAGCAGCCATTACAGCCATCAGAAGATCAAGAGTTTTTCACTGGAGGGGTTTATTCAACACCCCTAAAGGTCTCAAAATGAACCTTTTTTTTTTTGAGAAAAAAGGTAAGGTATTGTATTGATCGCTACTATCAAAAGTCAAGATTACATGTATAAGCCTTATAAGAAACAAGTACAGCCAGAAACTATACATTCCTGAGCCTAACTAACCCCCTCCCCCCCAACAAAACCAAAAACCATCCAGTATAAGTCTGTATATTAGCAATTTTATGTTGAAACCTGACATTTTCTAGTTATGGCAATTTTTTTGTGCCCAACCATTTTCATTTGATTCCATATTTGGATGCCCCTATAGATCTTCATAAAATTTTCTACCAAATTTCGTCTCAAAACTCCACCTAAAGCCCTAGATTCTATAATTTTGATCAACCCTTACATCTATCTAGGAGATATCTATGTACAAATTTTCATTGAAAAGTCCCAACCCCAAGACCTGTTTTCCTCAATTTGAAAATTTTCATAGTTCTTGAATAAATCTGCCATTGTTGCAGTTAATCCCTGAGATCATTTTCTAACCTAGCCATTCTCTACCTTTAGTTATAAAATCACTCCTTTTCTGTGGTATTTAGTTATAAAATCATTCGTAAACCTTAATCTAGCTAATTAATTTTATCCTAGACTCACCCTTGCATCATTTGAGTCCTGCATCAAATTGGTGCAAGAGCCATTGGTCCTACATTACTTATCCTTCCCTTATTCCATATTTGTTCTTTGTCCTGTATTCTGCTTCCTCTTAGGTTTATTCATTATTTTACCACCAATAACTTATTCCTAGAACAGGATATCTAAAACTAATTACTACTGATTTCCAAATCATTTGTGACATGTTCAGGCCATCTGGAAAGAACTTCTCATGATTGCTAAGATATTAGAGGATTAAATTATATCCTTGCAACTTTTAGGATTGATAATGGTTGTTTTCTATTGATATAACAGAATGTGCAAAAATGGCCAACTTTTATTCTCTATGACTATTGGTTGCTGAAAGTAGTTGTAGGCTATGATACCTCAAGTCTTATACATGCTACAATACAACACTTGCTACTGCAGAGGCAATTCTAGATTTACTCTATGGCATTAACATTTTTAAAACATGTAAAATGATTTGTTTTAACAAACCATACTGTAAAACACCTATATCTGTTAGAAGCTTAATAAAATTTTGCAAGACACAAGTCTTGAAGAATGACAGTTGGCTTCAAAACTAGAAATAAAAGCACGGTATAAGCATATCATATGGGATATTCCTATCTGCATCCTTGTCCAGGATTTTAGGAAATGGAGAGTCATCTCCCCATTGAGGTGGAGGATGATTTACAGGTTGTACTTGTATTTTTGTATAATCTTATCAAGAAGGCCAACGCCCCAGACTAAAGTACGGGTTATCCAGCCAAGTTCACGTTCCCCCTCTTTTTGTATATCCTGTATATTGCTGTTTTGGGTGTTCGCAGTTCTATTTTGAGAGTGGCTTTTTGTTTTATCAATAAAACTTGTTACTGATTTATAGAAATACAAAAACAAGAAAAAACTAGTCATCGTTTAAGCCTCATGTCGTTTGGACAAGAATATGGAGAATAATGTTGATTGCTTCAGTCTTTTTGCCCAGTACATGCAGATGGCCAGATACTAAGCAGCTTGCAACATTTTGTGTTTTGAGCATTATATATTTTACAGTGCTGTTTAGAACTGTTAATACACAAAGATTTCATTTATTAGAATAAGTGTTTCTTCAGGTAGTTCTGGTCCTCTATAAAATACCTAGATCCACCCCCACCCTGAGTATTAAATATTAGAGAACCTACTGCAGATAAAGTAGCGATTACATCTCTTCTATCATGCACACCTTGCAAAAGTTCCTTTGAGCCTGTTCCATTGTAACAGTAGGCATCTTTCCATTCCGCATCAAGTTCACAGTTTTGGTGCTCAGACGCCACTGGCGGCATGTCTCCAATGCCAAGTATGGACATACAGCACTGCAGAAATGATTATAGCATTAAAAGCATGAAAGAATTCAGAGCAATGTGTATGGGAAGGTGCAGGAAAGCTCATAATTTGGAAGTGTGTTTATTTTCCATAGAAGCATTTATCGAAAAGAATTTGGGAGGAGCCAGAATAGTTTATAATTATAGGAAAAATATGCTTGGAATCATCCAATACAAGCAATGTAAAGCAAGGAGAATCAACATGAAGCAGCTGCAGCCAACAAGAACACATGAAAAACAACACAAACACGTAAAAGCCTTCTATTCTATGTTGTTCGCTGATGACATTGTCTTAATTAATGAAACTAACAAAGGATTAAATGTGAAAAAGTTTATGGACAAATACTTCAGAAACAAGTGGTTTTAAAGTAGGACTAAAACAAAATATATAATATGTAAATTTAATAATAATAGAATGCAAATGAGAATACACTTTGGATTGGAGATAAATAGAAAATGCAATGTGACCTTTTCCAGTACCTTGGTTTGATAATTCATAACAAGGGAGAGATTGAGGATGCCCACAGAATTAGAGAAGGATGGACAAAATGGAGAGGTACATCCAGAGTCTTGAGTGATAGATGAATACCACTTCGATTAAAGGGAAATTTTTATAGAACAGTTGTAACGCCAGATATATTGTAAGGAGAAGAATGTTGGGGAGTCAGGAAACTTGTCCAAAAAATGACTGGCAGAAATGCATATGCTAAGATGAATGTGTAGAAAAACTAAAAGGGATAAGGTCAGAAATGAAGTTATTCGAAAGAACCTAGGAGTAGCTGCAATAGGTGACAAAATGGAGATAGAAGGGCTAGGGGTAGACCAAAAAGGACATGGGTCAAAGTATTTAGAAATGACTTAAGTGCCCAAAATTTACAATGGATATGGCATTAAATAGAATGGAATGCTCAAACAGGATTCATGTAGCTGACCCCATATAGTTGGGATGGGCTTGAATTATGATGGTGATGATTGAGGTCTTTTATTTTTATCTCAATCCTTTTTGTTTTTCAATAATAGGGGTATAGTATCTTCCTAGCACATACAAAGTTTTATGATGTCATCATGTTACAAGGAAGACCCTTCCTTTGCATCTCCCCAAACTGGTGTTTTCTCTACAAAGCTAGTGAAGGGAGCAGTTACCACCTTCTAATCTCCTGTCCTTTGGTTGCAGGCATTTGGGAAAGGCTTTTTTGTTCTGTTTGAATGCAGGTGGAATATACCTTTGCAGATTAGTGGCTTATTTGACCTTATGACCTTTGTTTGGCCTAAGAGGAGGATAGAATCTCGTGGAGATGTGTCAGGGCTGCTTCATTTTGGGTGGTTTAGGAGGAGAGACATTCTAGAATCTTCAATGAGAAGGAAAGAGATGTGGAGACAGTATGGGATTGTATTGTAAACAGGGCTCTACTTCGGTTTAAATCTTGGACCTATTGCTCCACTTTTCTTTGATGATATGAGGCAGAATTGGGATGTTATAGCAATGAGCTCAGCCAACAAGGAAAGGGATCTTTCAGTTCGGATGCCTCTGGAGGAAGGATTTATAAAACTCAACTTTGATGGAAGCAGCCTAGGTATCAAGGGCCTTCTGGAATGGNGGGTCTTCATAAATTTAGACAGCCATATTATTGCCTTATATTCAAGTCCAATAGGACAAGGGGACTCCATCGATGTTGAGTTCCAAGCAGTGTTACAGGGGGTAAATATTGCTATGACTTGAACTTTAACAGATTGCTGATGGAAGGGGATTCAAAGCTGATAGTTTGGTGGTTGAAGGAACCGGATACAGTGATTTGGACCTATGAGGAAGCAGTGAAAAGATTTAAATGGCTGACTACTAATATGGTTAAGAGTTCAATGGGAAAAGAGATAAGCAAATGGGATGGCAGACTATTTAGCTAGTAGGGGGTGACTAGGAGTTATCTATTTTGTGCTCAGCTGTAATTTATTCATGTAATTGAAGCTACATCTTGCACCTGTTTGGGAAGCCATGATTGTATACCTTGCTGTTTATTGATTAAAAATAAAATTTCTATTACTTATAAAAAAAATGCCATCATCTTCATGGGGCATACATTGCTTTAAGCATCTTTTGCATTTTCAGATTGCACTCTATAGCCCATTAGGAACCACACATTTCAAATTTTCCTTGGTATATTGCCAGTTCTCATTTCCATCACTCACATACTGTTGAAGGTATTGGAAAGATGTCAGGTCAAGTATCCAGGAAGGATAAGCATTCGTAGCACCAAAGTAGTCCCTAAGTGGCATGTGGTTTTCCTTGGGAAGTCATAGCACCACTCTTGATGATAGTTTTTCAGGTAGACAGGTAGATGCCCAATTATTTTCAGATAGCATGTACTAGCCACTAACATCATATGATATGAGGTCTCTTGCCTGCACAGTTGCCCCTCCCCTCTTTTCCTCCCTCCCTCCCTCTCTAACGTATGATGACTAGCAATCTTGGTATCAGCTTATGCAACCAAATGAACCACATTAACATAGGAATTCATCCAACTTGTCTGCAAATGCCCAAGTCATTTGTAAATTGATTAACAGCTTTGACCTATGCTGAGCACTAAATATCACCCAAAGGAATGCAAATTCTTTTGTTGATATTCTTGCTAAACAAGGGGTGGATAGAGATCAGTTGTTTTGGGCACAATTGTAAAAAAGAAGAAAAGCTGTTTCAGGGATAGATAAGAGGGCTTATCTCTCAATGCTTCTTTATCTTTATTGTACTCCTGCGCATCATTTTCAAATATTAATGAATTTTACAGTTACCAATAAAAAAAAATCTCACCCAAAGGAAGAACCAACTCCTTAATTGAAAATATAGAATTAGAGTTTAATAAGTCCATTATCATTTCTCTCTTTAGGGGATGAAAGGGAACATGGAGGAACAACATGCATTTGTCCTTACAATATAATTTTCAAATTATTTTTTGTCACATAATGAAAATGGATAACCAAACAAGAGTTAAAGCCTAAGTAAAACAAAGATCAGAAAGGGAGTTAAGAATAGTCTACAGAAAGATGAGAAAGGACCTTGCACCATATCCAATTAAACATGCAAACTGATGCGTGCTGAAGCATTGAGCAGTATCAGCTACAATGGAAGCCGACATCCGCAAGCCATTTTGAATTAGATGCTGGTGAACAGAACCAACAGCAAGAAGTATTGGAATGGCAGGTCGTGTTGGTTCCTGAAAGAAAAAACAATAATGAACTTCATTCCAGTATTGGATGATTTTATCAATTAACATTTCCATAATTGAAGGTAACAATGGGATCTGTAAACTAAAAGGCTATAAATAGTTGAAGACCTGGCACATAATCATACAAGATAGCGATTAATTATAACAAATGAATCACAAATGACAACATAAATGCCTATATGTGTGCATATATTAACATTAACAGTAAGTCATTAACATACCAAAACAAGAGGTACTGAAAGAAACAATTGCCACAACATATGAATGGAAACATAAAGCAGCTATAACAAGAAATACCAATAAATCCATTTAATTTCCATAATTGAAGGTAACAATGGGATCTGTAAACTAAAAGACCACAAATAGTTGTAGACCTGACACATAATCATACAAGACAGCAATTAATTATAACAAATGAATCACAAATGACAACATAAATGCCAATATGTGTGCATATATTAACATTATAACAGTAAGTCATTAACATACCAAAACAAGAGGTACTGAAAGAAACAATTGCCACAACATATCAATGGAAACATAAAGCAGCTATAACAAGAAATACCAATAAGTCCATTTAAAATCCATATGTATCAAACTGAACATGCAATTAGGTGAATTCAGTTAAAGAGAGCATGTTATTCAATCATAAAATGATCCGGATGACTTGCCTATCAACATAATTTGGAAAATTCGACCTGGTTCCACAACTTAGAGCAGGTGTGAAAAATACAAGTAGACAAAAACTTTCAAATAAGATTAACATGCCTACAGGCTACAAAAGTAACAATTATATGACTCTCCAACCACAAGCATCAGGTTACCACAGGAAGCGAAAACAATGAATTGCACTATGGTTGAAAGCACACTTTTACAATAAACAATTGTAAAGAAGGGAAATCTAAACATGTAACAGAAATCTTCCACAAGAAAGCACAAACAAAATCCAGAATACAGCTAAGGTTTTCTCTAGCACATATGATCTAATTTAGAAAAATGCAATGTAGAAACAGTGAAACGAAAAAAGGACATGTTAGTAGCATACCAAAATTTAACTGAAATATGATATAAATTCACTGAGTATAGCATAAAAAACTAATACTTACCAACTCCTCAGAGCGGTCAGAAAGAATAAGAAGTTGTGAACCATTTCTAACAGCTTCATCAGCATCTTCACACAATTTCTTTATTGTCTTTTCCAGGGAACCATCTAACCCTTTCCTAATATCAAAAAATGTCGGAAGTACTTGGGGCTTCAAGTAAGGATCCTCCATCAACAACTCAAGTTCCCCTTCATTCAACACAGGACTAGATAGAATAACCTTATAAAACATAATTAAAATAGTAAGTGAACAGAGAAAGATAATTTGTTATATGAAACAGATGTTCGTCAGAACAAACTTGAAGGTCCACAAAATATACAACACACCTTGCAGGAAGTTAGAAGCAGATCAAAAAAGTGTTAACATACCTGGGAAGCATTCTCTGGTCCAACCTCTAAGATATTTCCACGCTTTCCAATATTGACTTCAAGAGACATGACTAGACCTTCTCTAAGGGGATCAATAGCTGGGTTTGTAACCTGGAAGAAACTTTGTGACTATTGAAAGGAAAAAAAGATAGATCTAAATGTAATTAACAGCATAGAGTTCAGAAATCTAAAAACATGCTAAGATTGGTAAAAAAATCAATTACTATACTAAAATTAAATGCAGCAGAGAAAAACGTTAGTAAATGCAGAAAACAACCTCAAGCTAGATTTAGCGTAAGGAGAAACCTGTATGTTTCTATTTAGAGTTTATGCTAACTCCTACAATTTAAGATTTAGAAATCTCAAATAATAAAGATGAAATTTTATATAAAATTTATGTGCTAGTAAACTTCCAGACTTTTAGTTCCTGAGTGATGCCAACCATACACCTTCAAGAAAGATTAGAGATCCACTCTCACCATTGCTTATACAGGTGTTAAAAGTCAAGGGTATTTGTGTCTTTTTATTATGAGGATGGTTTGGTACTTAAACCACCTCACTGGACACATGTATACATCCTACTTCTACTTTCAATAATGGGATTACCATTTACCTTGGTTGCTATAATTTGTACAGTTATAATACTATAATTAGTCTGTTGTTGAAGCCTCAAAGTTCTGACAGCAACCACTTTGTGCCAAAAAAAGGCTTAGGATTGTATCCATTCTACACTCCCAAGACCCTAGATAGCTGGGACCAACATTGGCTAATGGCCTTTTCTGAAGCCTCAAAATTATGAATCTGGTTTTTTTGGATCAGAAGCAGGCTATTAAGCCACTCCCAAGCCCTAATTAAAGATTAAAAAAAATTACATTATACTTGGATGTCCTGTTTTGGCATATACTTGTACAGCAACTCGTTGTACAGAGGATCATATACTTTTGAGTTAATAGATTATACTTTACCTTTCTTCAAAAAAAATACAGCTTAAAAAAACTTCTTTTGAGCCATTCAAATAAGAGCAATTTAAGATAATTTAATTAAGAGAGCCCACTTAAATAGGCAGCAGGTCCTAAACTAATCTAAATAAAGACAAGAACTACATTTATTTAAGGGATGCACTTTCTGATCCCATTAGGAGAGTCCATCTACAACCCATTCATTAAACTTGGCTGATTATGGCTCCATATACAATATTAATTTATAAATTTTAATAAATCTTAATTCCATGTAAGAATAACAGTTATCTACAAGCATTGTCATGAACTTGGCTGATAATGGCTCCCCACATGAAATAAATGTTAGAACAAAGGCCTACAGCCACAACAGGATGGGACTCATTGCCATACGTAAAAATGTTATCTATTTGTTTATTTCTTCTGGATTCTCTCTCTAATGAAAGAGGGGAATATAAACCAGAATTTTCAATAGGACCAAAATGGAGACAGGATGATTGACTTGTGTTAGTGTCGAGTATGTAGGGGTAATTTTGTCTTTGTGCTTGTGTTTAGGTGCTGATGTGTAAGTTTTTGTTAGATTTAATGTCCCTAACTTAAGTAGGGGCATATGTGACTTTTCCACATTATTTTAGTAATATAAAATACATCTGGCCGAATGGGAGAGTGAATTTTTTCTCTCATTCGAACCAGAATCTTTTCTCCTTGTTTCTCTTCTGCTCTTCTCCTTTCTCTCTTTCTCTCCTTCTCTCTTCTCTCTCTCTTCCTTGACTGTTATCAGTCTAACAGGCAGACCGAACACTAACATGGTATCAGAGCTAAACTGAGCAAATCGGATCTGCCCAGAATTCGGTTATCTGCGCACCCAGCCTAGRGTTTTCTCTTATTTTCTTCACCATCAGCTAGAGATAAGGGACAGGGCTGAAAAGGAGTGATCGCCCTCTTCCCTTGGAGGTTTCTATGCCTCCAGTTGTGGCTTTTGTGGTCGGTTGCTGCAGTTTCTAAGAAGCCCTCCCCTAATCGATGAAGAGAAGAGGGCTGATTCGTGTGGTGCAGTGGGTGTCTTGTGTGGTCTGATTTTCAGTGATCAGGTAAGAGGTTTTTTGCATTTTTTTTTGGTGTGAATCAAATGAGAAGTCTATTTCAGACTGTATGGTGGGATTTCAGATTGTAGYGTGCTAGGGTTTGTGCACCCTTCAGTGTGATTCGAAGGGGGGGTGTTCCTCAAACAGTGTTGGGAAGTTTCAGGCAGTCGCGGAGTTGGGTTTGTGGTGTAAAGAGTGCAATTTACAGCAGTAGTAAGTGCTGAAATCAGGGTGTAGTGTGATCTAGTGTGCAGTTTGCCGAATTCAGCAATATCAGAATTTAGCAATGGGAGACAACAGTGATAGCAAGACTAGTGTGATGGTCCCTACTGATTACCTGAATGTTCAAATGACCTCCATTAAGCTGAATGGAGAAAACTATGTACCTTGGGCCAAATCTGTAGAAGTCTTACTTAAGGCAAAGAAGAAGGTGAAGCACATAAGGGATGAAAAACCTTCCACCGATTCTCTTGAGTATGATGATTGGGAGCAGGCAAATGCACAGATCATCACATGGTTATCGAATAGTATGGAACCCAAGATTAGTGTAAATTTCATGTTCCTTGATACTGCCAAACAAGTGTGGGACCATGCTAAGAAGCTGTATTCGGGTCAAGACAACACAACCAGAGTATATCAGTTGTACCAAGAATACCTTAATCTACAACAGGGTAATCAGAGTCTTGAGGAGTACTATGCTAGTATGAGAAACATTCGTAATGAATTGAATGTTTATCACCCCCTCACTTATGTGACTCGGTTTCTGGTGGGGCTGAAATCTGAATATGAACTAGTGCAGGCTCAAATACTAGGAGGGTCAACTCTCCCTTCCTTAGAAGAGGTGTTTGCTCGACTCAGGAGGATTTCCATTGGATCTACCGAGAACCCTAATATTTCCGATAGATCAGCCCTAGCAGTATCCAGAGGCCGTGGCGTTAGTGGTGGAGCTCGGGGAGCTCAGTCTAGCCGTAGTGGTAGTAGTGAACCGGCATATAGCCGGAGTGGTGGTAGTAGACCTACATATAACCGTGGTGGTGATCGTACTAGAGGTCGAGATTTAGGGGGAGCCCGCAGTAGAGGACGTAGTTCGGCTCCAAGGAGGTGTACACACTGTGGTCGGGATGGACATACCATCAATTATTGCTATGACTTGCATGGTCCACCTTCAACTTGGGCCAATCATGCCATGACTAGTGACAATAACCTCAGATAGGAGAGCCATTTAGCCAATCAGGTACCTCCTACATCCACAGATGTTGCTGGGAAGGAGATGATGAATATTCCCCGTGATGAGAGGTTAGTACAGGCCACATCTCAGCAGAACACGGCCACTCTCGCACACTCAGGTATGGCTTGTCTGGCATCCACACCCCATCCCTGGATTATTGATTCTGGAGCCTCCGATCACATGATTGGAACTCCAGGTGTGTTTTCTTCCCTCTCTCATTGCTCAACATCACAATCTGTTACCTTTGCTAATGGTTCCACATCCTCCATTTGTGGTGTTGGTAATGTTGACCTAGACCCTGTATCCCTATCCTCAGTTTTGTATGTCCCTAAATTTCCTTTTAATCTTATGTCTATTAGTAAGTTGACCAAGTCTCTTAATTGCTCCATTACCTTTTACCCCTCTTCATGTGTTTTTTAGGATCTCAAGACGGGGATGAAGATTGGTTGATGGTGGTGGAAGTACGTCAACAGCTCTCCAATCGTCTGCCTCTCCTCTCCAGTGGCAATGTCGATTTGGTCATCCTTCACGGAAAGTTTTGAAGTCTTCGGTTCCTTCATTGAGTCATCTTTCTGTTTTGGATTCTGAGTTGTGTCAGTTGGGGAAACATCATCGTGTTCCCTTTAGTCCTAGAGTTGATAATCGTGTATTGAGTCATTTTTCTTTGGTTCATTAAGATGTTTGGGGTCCTTATAAAGTGATGTCATACAATGGATATAAATATTTTGTCATTTTTGTTGATGATTATTCAAGGATGACGTGGCTCTGTTTAATGAAAGAAAGAAGTGAATTGTTTACCATTTTCCAAAAGTTTTATGTTGAGATTCGCAACCAATTTGGTGTTCACATTAAAATTTTCCGTTCTGATAATGGTCGTGAATATCTCTCTTCATCATTTCAGAACTACCTAGACCAACATGGCATTATCCATCAGACTTCATGTACCTACACCCCACAACAAAACGGGGTGGCTGATTGAAAGAATCGTCACCTCTTGGAAACAACTCGATCCCTCATGCATCACATGAATGTTCCCAAATCCTTTTGGAGTGATGTAGTGCTTACTTCCTGCTTCTTGGTTAACCAGATGCCCACGTCTATCCTTGATGGTCATTCCCCATTCACCACATTGTTTCCTACCTTGTCTTTGTTTCCTCTCTCTCCTCGAGTTTTTGGATGTGTTTGTTTTGTTCATAATCTGCGGCCAGGAATGGACAAGTTAGATGCACGGTCTATTAAGTGCATCTTCCTTGGCTATTCCCGGACTCAGAAAGGGTATAAGTGTTATCACCCTAGCTCTCGATGTTCCTTTGTATGTGTTGATGTTACTTTCTTTGAGTCTACTCCATTCTTCTTGGGGTCCGGTGATGTTTCTTTCTCCTCATCACCTCCTCCCCTTCCTCTTCCAGTTGTGGACTCTGTTCCTTTTGTTCCTGCAGTGACCAAGTCTTTGCCTCTGGTGCCACCACCTGTTGAACGACCATAGATCCATCACGTGTAGTAGTACTCTTCATCCTATTTCTAATTATGTTTCACTGACTCACCTTTCCACTTCCCATCGCCAGTTTATCTCTTTGTTATCCTCTGTTGTTATACCTGAGGATGTCCAGGAAGCCCTTGCCTCTCTAGGATGGTGTCGTGCGATGGAAGAAGAACTCTCAGCTCTGGCTCATAATCATACATGGGAACTCACCACTCTTCCTCCTGGTAAGCAGGTTGTTGGTTGTTGGTTGTAAGTGGGTTTATACGGTTAAGTACTTACTTGATGGTAGTGTAGAGCGGCTGAAAGCTAGATTGGTTGCCAAAGGGTATTCCCAAACCTATGGTATTGATTACACAGAG